GTCATCCTACAAATGTCTAAAGTGTTGATTGCAGAAGGACTCGGCTACAACTTACTGAGCGTCAGCCAACTGATGGCGAAGGGTATTCATCTTGAAGCAGACAGCACCACTCAGGAGTTCAAGCTATTCCACGGTAAAGGAGGACTCTACATCGGCAAATCAGTCTTGAAGAATAACGTCTTCGTTCTCGATTTTGTACCAGATCAAGGAACTGCCGATAGCGACGCCATCGTAAACTTCGCCTCTTGGACGCACCCACCAGACCTCGATCCCGACTTCAGCCCTGGAGGATTCTGGTATTCACATACCATACCTGAAGCAGAAAGAACACGGGCATTAGCAACAATCCGGCAAGAAGAAACAACATCGACAGCAGCAGAGACAACACCGGCAACAACAACACTTACAACACCAATCGCGAACTCTTCGACGGCACCAACACTCATCGACGACACTCCACCGACTCCTGCGCAGCAGTTAGCTCCCACTCCACGAGAAGTTCACAGAAGCGCCAACCTCACCGCCGCCTTTTACTCCAACTCCGACCTGTACAGGCGCTCACCCGGACATCGTGCAAGCGAATCCCTGTGGCACGAACGACTGGGTCATCCAAGCAACACCATGTTAAACAACACAATCAAGGCAGCAGTGCTTGACAAAGACTCACTCCTTCTACCCGACGGTAGAGAACTCCAACGAGTCCGCGGAACATGTTTTACCTGTCCCGAAGCCGACTTACCGCATCAATCGTTCGTCTCTCACCATAATCCAAGTGCGCCAGCCTATGCACCACTTGAGAAAGTATACAGCGACATCCTGTATACTCGCGAACAGGGACAAGGGGCATACAATTACGTGATTAATTTCATCGACGCCGCCACTCGTTACGTCTGGCACCTTAATCTCCCAAGTCGCGACATGGCCTTCGAAGCCTTCGTCGCCTGGCTACCTGTGGCAGAACGAGAATCAGGAGCAAAGCTGAAAAGCTTCCAATCTGACGGAGGAGGGGAATATCAGTCCTAGAGGTTCAGGCAGTACCTCGCAGAACGAGGCATCAAGCGACTCATGTCGCTTCCCTACGCCCATCAACAGCAAGGCGTGGCAGAACGGATAAACAGAACTCTCCAGAACACCATGCGCAAATTGTAGCGTGGCATGCGACTGCCCAATCACCAGTGGCCTGAAGCGATGGACCACGCTGTCATGCTGCACAACTTGCTTTCGTCGTCGTCACTTCCGAACAACGCATCACCGCACCTGCTGTGGACAGGAAAGCTGGGCAACACAAAAATGTTACGAGTTTTCGGGTGCATGGTACAGTACCGCCCGCACACTGCAAGAGCCGGAATATTTGCTCAACGCGCACAGTGGGGACTACACCTGGGCATCGAAAAGCATTACAACGCATGGAAGATTTTTTACGTCCACTTGAAAGAAACAGTAGCAGCACGTGATGTCATCTTCTACGAGCGACTCACACTTCAAACGTACCTGGACAACTTGGCAGCAAATCGAGACCTCACAGGCGGCTTCCGTGGCAACCGAGCCTTCGCTTCAGCAGCAGACGAAGCTGACTGGGACGAGCAAAATGTGGACAACGCATCCGAAGAAGCAGGACCACTCCCATACTGCTCCGTGCCCATCCCGATGGATGACGAAAATCCTCGCGAAAGCGTCACCGCCGAAACTTATTTCGACTTCGCCGACACTGGTTATGTTACACCTCAATCGGTCGCCACCAACATCTCCAAACGCATAGGACCGAATTTCTTACCAGACCCCGAAGCAGGAGACGAAGCAGCTTATCCAGAGGACACAAATCTCCCCCGCTACACACAAAGTGGCCTGCAGATACTGGGACTCGTCACCGCCGTCCACGGAGCAGAACCACCTAAGGAGCCTGCTACCATTCAGCAGGCTCTGGGGGGGGAACACAAGGAAAAGTGGCATGAAGCCATGGACAAAGAGTTGAAGGCACTGCAAGAACGCAACACCTGGAAAGTCGTGCCTATCGGAGTGGCACGCAACAAGACCATCCTCACGGGAAAATGGGTTTTCCGCGTGAAAACAAAAGCTGATGGAACAATCGACAAGTTCAAAGCACGCTGGGTCGTGCGGGGCTTCGACCAAGAGCAAGGGCGAGACTTCACGGAAACATTCGCCCCAGTAAGCCGACATACCTCACTGCGGATTCTCCTCGCGATCGCCGCCATGAACCGGAAGAAACTTCGACAAATCGATGTCGCCAACGCCTTCCTCTACGCCCCCGTCGACGCTGAGATCTTCGTCGAACTCCCGCACGGGTCCAACGCAGGTCCAAACCAAATCTGTCAACTGGAGAAGTCGCTGTACGGGATCAAGCAAGCCCCGAGACTGTGGCAGCAGTATATTCACGCCCGCCTAATTCGCATCGGATTTCTTCAACTACCACTCGACCAAGGGATGTATCGGCTGACGAAAGGCACTGACTACATTCTACTTATCGTCTACGTCGATGACCTTCTCTACATATGCTCCACCGACGCCGTAACGACATGGTTTGAAGGGGAGCTGCAAGGAGATCTAACTCTCACCGTCGCAACCACCGTGACACAGTTACTAGGACTGAACATCGAAGACGGCGACAATGCCATCTACCTCAGCGCTGCAAAATACACAGACACTATTGCTAAACGCTTCGGACTCATTCCAACCGCTATCTCCACGCCATACCGCTACACCGACGGAAATCGAAAAGCCTCCGCCCTACTCAAACCTGCTGGCATCCGCGACTACCAAAGGAAACTAGGCTGCCTACTCTTCGCAGCCGTCACCTGCCGACCGGATCTATCCTACTCAGCTAGCCAACTTGCTACCTACCTCAAGAAGCCTGAAGCAGAGCACATGCTCGAACTCGACCGAGCGCTCCACTACCTCGTCAGCACTCCGACGATCGGACTCACCTACTATAAGACCAACACCGCAACACCTAAGCTAATCGGCTACGTCTACAAACTCGAACCTATCGGACCTATCTCATGGCAGTCGAACAAACAAGAGCTAATCGCTCTCTCGTCAGCAGAAGCAGAATATTTCGCACTCTGCTCAGCCACCAAGGAAGGGCTATATCTTCGCGAACTACTGGAGGAAGCAAAACTGGCCCAGTTACCCAACTTCTCTCTCTTCTGCGACAACCAATCGGCCATTCGCATAGCGAACAAAAACGGGTTCGCAAATCGAACGAAGCACATCGCCCTTCGGTATTTCTTCATAAAGGACGAAATCGAAAAGGGGGGACTCGAACTATCCTACTGCCCCACATCCGAGATGGCAGCTGATTACTTGACCAAGAAACTCGGAAAACAGAAGTTCGAGTACTGCATGCTGCTGACTGGACAAGGACACGTCATCAGCAGCGATACTCCAGAAGCGAAGGGGAGTGTTGGAAACAAGTAATCTAACGCTTCTGTAGTATCGAAGCTTCGACACGAAAACGGAGCTAACGACAGCGAAGAAGCACTCGAGTCAACCAAAGCAACCGCCGGAGGTTACGCGAAGGTCAAAGGTCTCCGACCTTTGACTTGACGAAACGTACAGTGCGACAGCAAGGACACATAACTGACTCGTTAGTGAGCAGTTACCCGAGTCGGCACTGTAACGAACCGCAACAGCAAAACAGTTAAAATATAACTTTTCATATTCCTTGTAATCATATAAAAGGCTTGTATTTCTTTGCTATTAATCAACTTATCTTGTTCTCACACACCAGTACAAGGTGGTTCAAGGCAACTCTTATTAAACGCTTCCGCAATTACATCTCTACGTCAACACCTGATCTTAGTCCTGAAAGGATCCTAAGGGCTTTTCTCAGCCCAACACATGGTACACATGTGGATCATGGTACACATGTGGGGAATCGCCTAGTGTCAAGATGATGCCTTCAGGATGCCATGCCTTTCCAGAGGGATTTACCTTGTGGTCAACGCAACAAGTGCAAAGGTCCCATGAGGCAAACTCCTCTATACGTTGAGACATACAGCAGGACTGTATGGCATGGCACAGTTTTGGCCGTCTTGTTGGCTCGCCAGATGTGAGTCCATGCAGCCCCCGATGAGTTGTGTCGCCACTGCTAGTGGTGACCACCATTTGACAGCCAAAATTACGGTACCACACAATAGGAGAGTTCAGTCAACAAGTCGTGCAGTGCAGCCTTGCACGCCCTGGGAATCACAACCATGCTTCCAACGATTGGCAGAAGTGCAGCAAGGGCGAAAGTTCTGCAATCGAAGTCCAGGGCAAAAGGCTCCGTTGCCGGGATTTGAACCCGGGTCGCCTGGGTGAAAGCCAGGTATCCTAACCAGGCTGGACGACAACGGATGTATGACGGAGGCCCAAAAAATACTTCATCAAATTTATCAAAACCGTGGAGTGGCTTCACTGAATCTGCATGAACGAATTTGCAGATGATACGAGGTGCTGAGGCCGTCCCTTGGGTGCGGGCTAGCAGGGATGCACACAGCAACCATGGCCTCGGATCGGCGCTCTCGAGGCTTCCGCTCCTTGAATCGGCGCGCCATGAATCATTGCAGCGGATCCCGACGAGTTCCAGTCGGGCTGGATCGCGCCTCCCAAGGAGATTCGCGTCTCGACGGGGGGTTCTCAGCATCGAGTCGAAGATAGCGGCGCGCGAGTTGTGTGACCGCGTGGAAAGCGGAAGAGCTGGTTGGGTTTCAGACTATGGTCGCACCGCCGCGGCAGTACCTCGCTGCCGCTCCGGTAATCGCGGCGCCGTGGCTCCCTGTGCGGGGTCGGGGGACGGCGAGGGGAATGGTGCGGCGGAGACCAGTCGGGGAGGTGGATCGTATTTGGAGGGCGCGGCACGGTTCTGGCGCGACGCACGGTGCGGCGAGAGGAGAGAGTAGTTGTGACGGTGGAGGGAGAGTGAGTGAGAGGGAGAGAGAGGTTGAAAGGGGAGAGATTTTGAGTGAGGGAGAGAGTGAGGGAGACAGGATGAAGTTTTCATGCCCGTTCCCCTTCCCACCCGCAATTCCCCTCGACTTCCGCGTGCCTGTCCGCCCCCCTGCAGTTCCGCCTACTCCGCGGATGCGCTGGGCGTGGAGATGGCGGCGATCGCGCTGCCGGCGCTGCTGGCGCTCGCCGCCGAACCCGTCGCGTCGCTCGTTGATACGTTCTACATCGGGCAGATGGGTGAGGGCAGATGGGTGAGAGCAGTCGCTTCGTTGGGCAGATCGATTACTGGTCAGCTGATTAGTCGGAGAGGTAGTTTACTCGGAGAGGTAGTTTACTCGGAGAGGTAGTTTACTCGGAGAGGTAGTTTACTCGGAGAGGTAGTTGACTCGGAGAGATGATTGGACAGATATCATTGCGGATGAGTGTCTCTTGTCTCATTCAGCAACCGGGTGCATGGCATGGCAGGCAGGCACCAACCCATCGTCTCTCTGCGCCTTGTCTCTGCCGTGCTGCCTGCCCCCTGGCGCGTGTGTGGCGCGTGGCAGGCGCGGAGGAGCTGGGGGGGGTGGGGGTGGCGGTGGCGGTGGTGGGGGTGCTGTCCAAGGTGCTCAACGTGCCCCTGCTCAACATCACCACCTCCTTCGTCGCTCAGGACCAACACCTCCTCGCCCACCCACTGCAGCAACACCATGTGCAACATCAGCCGCAGCAGCAACAGGGCTCGCCTCCAGTATCATCCGCCTCCTCTACCTCCTCCGCCTCCGCCGCCTCCCCCCCGCCCGCGTCCAAGCCCGTGGTACCGTCCGTGTCAGCGGCGCTGCTAATGGCCGTGGCGCTTGGCGCATTAGAGGCGCTGCTGCTGGCGGTGGCGGCGGCGCCGCTGCTGGGGGTGATGGGCGTGGGGCCCGCGTCCCCCATGCACGCGGCGGCGCTGCAGTACCTGCAGGTGAGGGCGGTGGGGTCGCCCGCCGTGGTGCTGTTCCTCACGGCGCAGGGCGTCTTCCGCGGCCTCAAGGACACTCGCACACCGCTCGCTGCCTCCGGTGAGCCTCAAGCTTCAGGTACAAGGAGCGCCTCAGGTGAAGGAGCAGGAAAATGAAAATGAAGGTGAAGGTGATGGTGAAGGTGAAGGTGAAGGTGAAGGTGAAGGTGAAGGTGAAGGTGACGATACTTTACTTCACACAGAGCTTTGCGTCCACCGAACCTGCACCGATTGGCCTTCCCTGGTTTCTTCCGACCTTGATCCCTCTTCCTCCCCCACCCGCTGCCCCCCATGCAGTGAGTGGCAACGTGGTGCACGTCTTGCTGGACCCCATTCTCATCTTCTCCGCCGGGCTGGGCGTGTCAGGCGCTGCAGCCGCCACGGTGGCAGCACAGTACGGCATGGCGGGGTGGCTGCTGCTGCGACTGAGTGCCACAGTGCAGCTCATCCCGCCCTCGCTCTCCCTCGTCACATTCGACCGCTTCTTTAAGTCCGGTGAGCCCTGCAACTCACAACAGAGTTCGCATCTGCATCATATCAGCATCAGCATCAGCATCAGCATCATATCAGCATCAGCATCAGCATCAGCATCAGCATAGGCATCAGCATCAGCATCAGCATCAGCATCAGCATCAGCATCATATCAGCATCAGCATCAGCATCAGCATCAGCATCTGCATCAGCATCAGCATCAGCATCTGCATCATATCAGCATCAGCATCAGCATCAGCATCAGCATCAGCATCAGCATCATATCAGCATCAGCATAAGCATCAGCATCAGCATCAGCATCATATCAGCATCAGCATCAGCATCAGCATCATATCAGCATCAGCATCTGCATCATATCAGCATCAGCATCAGCATCTGCATCATATCAGCATCAGCATCAGCATCAGCATCAGCATCAGCATCTGCATCAGCATCAGCATCAGCATCAGCATCATATTAGCATCAGCATCAGCATCAGCATCAGCATCATATCAGCATCATATCAGCATCAGCATCATATCAGCATCATATCAGCATCAGCATCAGCATCAGCATCAGCATCAGCATCATATCAGCATCAGCATCAGCATCAGCATCATATCAGCATCAGCATCAGCATCAGCATCAGCATCATATCAGCATCAGCATCAGCATCAGCATCATATCAGCATCAGCATCAGCATCAGCATCTGCATCATATCAGCATCAGCATCAGCATCAGCATCAGCATCAGCATCATATCAGCATCAGCATCAGCATCAGCATCAGCATCTGCATCAGCATCAGCATCAGCATCAGCATCAGCATCAGCATCTGCATCATATCAGCATCAGCATCAGCATCAGCATCAGCATCAGCATCTGCATCATATCAGCATCAGCATCAGCATCAGCATCAGCATCAGCATCATATCAGCATCAGCATCAGCATCAGCATCAGCATCAGCATCAGCATCTGCATCAGCATCAGCATCAGCATCAGCATCAGCATCATATCAGCATCAGCATCAGCATCAGCATCAGCATCATATCAGCATCAGCATCAGCATCTGCATCAGCATGTGCATGTGCATGTGCTCGTGCATCTGCTCCCGCATCTCCCTTTTCCCCCGTCTGCCAGGCGTCTTCCCTCTCAACCGTGCACCGCGCCCTCTTTCCGTGCATCCTCCCTCCAGGCGGGCTGCTACTGGGGCGAACGGTGGCGCTGTTGGGGGCGATGGCGGTGGGGACGAGCATGGCGGCGAGGCAGGGGGCGGTGCCCATGGCGGCACACCAGCTCGCACTGCAGCTCTGCCTCGCCGCCTCCCTCCTCTCCGACTCCGTTGCCCTCGCTGCTCAGGTGCGCCCAGGTGGATCCTCTGGTGGGTTTCCAGGTGATTGTTCAGATTTTTTTCAAATTGAGGATTGATTTCGTGCACACATTTGTTTTCACATGATAGTTTCTCTGTTCCTGTGTGCGCTCCCTCGCGTGCATGCATGTGCTTATCTGCTCATGTGTGATGGCATGTGTGATGGCATGTGTGTGTGGTGCCATATGTATCAGACCTTATTGGCAGCGGCCTTTGCACGCAACAACACGGCCATGGTGCGAGCCATCATGCTGCGATCGCTGCAGGTAAGAGGGCAAAGGGGAAGGCACCACATGCTGCACGCCCCACATGCTGCACGCACCAATACGAATGTGAATGTCAGCACCTTCTTTCTCGCTTTTGACACCATCGGCTCTTCACTCACACTATCGCTGTCATCCATAGCCACGCCCTTGTATCACCTGATTCATTGCTCTCACCCACCATCAACCTCCTCCCGGCACTTCATCCACCGCTCTCACGCGTGCAACCCCACCCCCCCCTCCCCTGTGTGCTCGGCAGATAGGGTTGGGCATGGGAGCGGTGATGGGGGTGCTGCTCTCACTGTCCGCGCAGCTGCTGCCGGCGCTCTTCACCTCCGATGACCGTGTGCTGCTGCAGGCTGTCGCCCTCATGCCCGTGAGACATCTCCCCCTTAGCCCTCCTCACACCGTTTCCACTCGTCACCACGCCACCGCCGACCTCCACTTACTCTCGCTCACACACTTGCTGTGCCGCCCTCCTCGCCCCGTGTTGCAGTTTGCAGCAGCGATGCAGCCGATGGCGAGCATGGCTGCACTACGGCGCCACTGACTTTGACTTCGCTGCCCTTGCCATGGTACCCCGCCCCATGCCCCCCTCCTCATCCCCCCCTTGCTGCAGTTTGCAGCAGCGATGCAGCCGATGGCGAGCATGGCGTTTGTGTTTGACGGGCTGCACTACGGCGCCACTGACTTCGCCTTTGCTGCCCTCGCCATGGTACCGTGCCCTCCCCATGCACCTCACGAGGTGACTTTTGAGTCGACTCAAAAGTCACCTCGTTACAATGGCATGCTGCCCTTGCCATGGTACCGTGCCTTCCCCACGCGCCTCACGTCCTGCTGCTGCCTTTCCATCTTAACCAGCCCGGGCTCCCTGCCGCGTGCGCCCTGCCCCATGCTCCCTCTGCCTTAGTCCGCTCTCAGTTGTCTCGACTCCCTTCGGCTTACCTGTTGCTGCACCCTGCGTCCTCTGCCCCCTCTGACCCCCCTGCCCTGGGCACGGGAGCAGATGGCAGTGGCGCCAGCAGCAGCGGCGGTGCTGGTGTATGCACCGAGCGAGTGGGGAGTGGAGGGCGTGTGGATTGGCCTCTCTCTCCTCATGGCCGCCCGCATGTTTGCCGGCTTCCTCAGGTCAGCCACCTTCCTCAGGTCAGCCACCGCATGCTTGCTCTATCCCCCCAATTCTTCCCCCCCCCCACCCCCGTGCTCTCACTCTTACGCCCCTCATGCCTCCCCATGCCTTACGCCCCCCATGCATTATGCTCCCCCTGCCGTGTTGGTAACGTCATGCAGAGTGGGCACGGGCGGTGGGGCGTGGGCGGTGCTGCAGCCAGCACCACATGCGCACAGGAGCCTTGTTGGTGCAGGCGATCATCATGTATCCACACGTGATTCAAGCGATGGTGACAGTGGTGATGTGGATCATGTCACCCGCACAGCCAGAGGAGAGAAAATGGGTGGAGGGAGAATCTCTAGCAGTTGGAATTGTGAATAGTAGCCTGAAACTTGATGGAAGACCATCATGAAATACTGATAATTGACCCGAATAAAATAATCAGTTTTCATGTTTAGGGTTCCGGAAAGCTAGACGAATGCACCTTGCATGAAGTAGGATGGGTGAATGTGGCTTATAACGAAGCAGTTTTTTTTTCGCGTGTGTCATAGGGAACAGTTTTCTGGAAGATTCGCATTTCGCAAATCACCTTCAAGCACGCCGCACCACTTTTCTAGCAGCAACTTGCAGCCACCTGCTACTGACACGTGCAATCTTCTCTACAGCGCCTCGGTACGCGGACGAGCCTTTGACGCAGATCTTTACTATCGAACCCGCTACACTTGCAGGGGAGTCGGGGTTAGGACTGGCGGAGTGAGCTCGGGCTGTTGGGTTGGGAGGTATCTGGGATGGCGGAGGCGGGAAGTGCCACCGCGCGATCGCCGGCGGAAGAGGCGGGAGTGGAGACCGACATGGCGCGACTCGCGGTGGCAGATGCGACTGACGGGAAGCCCGCAGGCGGCGGTGGTGACGTGGACGATTTGGATGACGTGGAGCAGACGGAGGTGGTGTTGTTCCACCTCAAGGAGTGCTACGTGTACAAGGTGCGCCGCGCCCACACATCCTCCGTGCTTTCACCGCTCGTTCCGCTCATTCCGTTCGTTCCGCATTATGCGTGCCGCTGCGATGCGCGCAGGCAAGTCGCGAGCAGGTGTCACCCCATTGGCGCGTCTGCGCACGCGTCGTCCGGAGAATGTCTTAGAATGTGCCTGCTGGGTCGACTTGCAGCGAGCGGTGCCAGTGCGAGCAGGGAACGGGGTATGCATTAGGCTCGCCATTCCCTCTCATCTCCCCACCGCCGCTCTGTGCCTCGGCAGCTTCCGAGTCGTCTGAGAATGCCACACGTTCCGTGCTCTCTTAACTCGCTGACGTCACCTTCCTCCTCGTTTCCCTTTTCCCCGTCTCCCCTCCTTCACACCCTTCAACCCCACCCCATTGAACGACACAGATCCCCCCGCGCAAGACTGCAGCGTCCTACCGGTGCGTACCCACTCCGCACACCGCACCCTTCACGCCCAACTCCCCTCACTCCCTTCTCGCCCCTGCTGTCTTCCCTGCACTGCCGCGTGCCTGCCTGGTCACTCGCATTCCTGCTTGCCAGCGCGCACACCGCCCTTCCACCCACACCGCATCGCCCCGCCCTCACTTCCCACCATCCCTCCATCTTCCATCCCCCTCCTCCCCGTCGCTTGCCTAATCTCCACCCCCTCCCCCCTTCTCCCCTGGGCAGGGCGGACGAGTGGGACATAAACAGGTGGGCGTGGGAGGGCGCCATAAGCGTGGCGTCACGGGGCGACCACTGCAGCATCCGCCCTGCTGGACGCCGCCACAGGGGACCTCTTCGCACACGCGCCCGTGCGCCCCAACCACCCGTTGCCCCTGGAGGCCGTCATCGACAGCAGCCGCTTCTTCGTGCTGCGCATCGAAGACTCCTCTCCGCCCCCCCCCTCCGCCTCTGCCGCCTCTGCCGCCTCTGCATCCTCTAGCAAGGGTGGGACGCCCGCTGCTGCGGCGCCACCGGTGGTGAGGCATGCGTTCATAGGGTTGGGGTTTCGGGAGCGCACGGCGGCGTATGACTTCCAGGCGGCGGTGTACGACCATGTGCAGTACGTCCAGAAGCAGCAGGAGGCGCGGCGCATGGGGCGCACGTATGACTCGCGGCCTGCCGCTGACTACCGCCTCAAGGACGGCCAGACGCTGCACCTCGACCTCAAAACGGTTCGTGAGAGATGGGGAGAAGGTGGGGGGGAAGGGGGGGAAGGGGGGGAAGGGATGAGGGATCGGGTGTGACTGTTGATGGTGAGGATGGACGTACAGTGAGGGATGTGTGGTGCGAGGAGGAGAGGTAGTGCATGCAGGGAATTAGGGGGCGGTTGATGGCAGGGCATGGGGGGAGTGGGGATTGGCGGAGGGCAGCTTGATGGTCCCTCCCGTGCTGCTCACTCTGCTTACATGTGTGCATCCCCTCCCCTTTCCCCTTCCCTCCCCCACCATGGCAGCCGGCACGGGCAAAGCCAAGCACAGCGGGCCTGCCGCTGTCGCCCACCACCCCGGGCAACGTGGCCTTCAAGTTGCCCTCCCTCACAGCTGCTGCCCCTGACGCGTCTGCCCCCTTCCCCATGCGCCAAGCCTCAGGGGACCATGCCGCTGCTGACTCCTCCCCACCACATGCCACCGCAGCTGCCACCACCACTACCGCCTCGCCTCCCATCCTCCCTCCCCCGCCCCCGGCGCGCCTCTCCTCGCCTCCCTCCGCGTCCCCCTCCTCCCCTCCCTCCACATCCTTCTCTGCGCGCTCCTTTCCCCCCGCGGCCCCTTCCCCCTCCATCGCGTGGGCGTTCCAATCCGACGACCCCCCTGCCTCTGTCACCTCCGTACCCCAGTCCGTCATGCCTGCAACCTCGGGTGGCAGTGAGGGCGGTGGCAGTGCGGCAGCAGCGGGGGAGGACACAGATGACTTTGGGGAGTTTGTGGCCGCGTGAGGTGCTGGTGGGGGGCGAGTAACGCGACTCGTGAGTTGAGAGGAGGTGGAATGGATGATGGGCGAGGCATGGAACCCAGGGACTGGCAGCCGCGTGCATGCATGCATGTTCGTGCTGCTGCGCTGCCATGGGGTGGGTGGCTTGCAAGCACCACAGGAGAGCCTCGGCACGGCCTGGCTGACACCAACTACCGTACTGCCCGTTAGGCTGGTTCATATCCAGGAAGATTCTCGTATGCATGTACGGGTATTGTAATCCATAATCTGTATGTGACAATCCCATACAGTGAATCCAAACTGACTAGCGACAAAGATGTACAGAGCACAGCATCTGCATCTTTACTATACTAACACCAGTGGCCAGCAGTGCAGCATGCAGCAGCCACAAGTACTTGTAAACCATGTGCTTCACCCCTACAACTCCGTAGCTACTTGGCACCGTTCTTCTTCCCCCACCCCATCCCCTTGCCCTTGCCGCTCTTTCCCCCCAGCGCCTCACGGTGCAGGAAAGCAGCACTCATGCGGGCAATGCGCCCACCCACGCCCTCTTGCACCGCCTCCCCATCGTCGTCCCCGCCCCCGTAGCGCACGCGCTTGGTCTCGGCCTGGAAGTCACCGAGCATGTCGCGCACCACCTGGGCCGTGATGCCGCGCACGTAGTAGTCCAGGGGGGGCGGGGGCGACAGCGCCAGCTGCACCACCTGCTGCAGATGCACGCGCGACGCCATGCGCGCGCCATGCCCGGGTTTCGCCTCACTTGCGCCCTCCCGACTTGCGTCCCCCTCACTAGCGTCTGCTTCAGCGGGGGGGCGGCTGTCAAACACCTCCCGCGCATCCTCAAAATCGCTGCCCTCCGCCCCCCGCCCCGCTTCCCCCTCCGCTGCTTCTGCCTTCCCTCCCCCCTCTGCCCCGCTTCCGCCCTTCTCGGCTGTCTCCGATCCGCCCTTGCTCGCCCCCTCCGTGCGCATGTCCGCGGACCCTGGCACGGGCAGCGGCTCCACGCGCCAGAAGCCCTCGAAGCGCCGCATGAACCCCGGCTGTGCGATCTTGAACGACATCTGCGCGGGGAGGAGGGAAAAAGGGAGAGCGGGAGGCGAGCGGGAAAGGGGGAAGAGCAGGCACGAGGGAAAATAAGTGGGAGATTGGCAGCAGACGCGTGAGAGGCCACGGCAACGCGAACGCAAATGAGATTCCTTTCTACCGCCTCCCGTGCTCCTCTCCGTTTTTCATCTACTCTCCCCGTCGCCCTCCCACGCCTCCCCACACGCGCGACGCACCGTTCGTTCCTCGCGGTCCTGCGTGACGAGGAGGCGCGTGTCGAAGGAGCCGGAGAAGACGAGGAATTTCCACGCGGCGGACTGCTCCACCTCCACGAGCTGCCGGTCGCCGTCGTCCTCCAACACCTTGCGGTGCTTCACCGCCTTGATGTTCTTGAACACGCGCCGGTTGTACGGGTCGCACAGCGTGTTGTACACCGCGTCGGGCGGCAGCGCCAGGGTGACCTGGCAGTCGAGCTGGCAGAAGGTGCCTTTGGGCGTCGATACCGTGAGCTGCGCCGCCTCGTCGTGCCACTCGGGGTCGTCCCGCCACGCGCGCATCTGCCGCTCCAGCTCCGCGCGCCACAAGATGCGCCCCTCGCGGTACCCGTCCATCTGCACCACCGCCTCCTCCTCCTTCCGCTGCGCCTCCTCCGCCTGCCGCTGCGCCTCCGCGGCGTGGTGCGCCTGCTCCCACTCTCTCTGCCGCGCCAGGCTCTCTTCATCCATCACCAGCGCCGCCGGCTCCTCGCTCGTCGCGTCCTCGAACTTCTCTGCCACGTCACCGTCGCCTGCCACAGCGTCCGTGCCTTCACCGCCATCGGCGGCGGGAGTTTCGCTAGGTTTGGCGGGAGTTTCGGTTGGTGCGGCGGGAGTTTCTGTTGGTGCGGCGAGAGTTTCGCTAGGTTCGGCGAGAGTTTCGCATGGTTCTGCGGGAGTTTCGGTTGGCGCGGCGGGAGCTTCGGTTGGTGCGGCGGGAGTTTCGGTTGATGGGGCGGGAGTTTCGGTTAATGCGGCGGGAGTTTCGGTTGGTGCGGCGGGTGCGGGTAATCCCGCAACTGGTTCTTCCTTCACGTTACCGCCCTCCCCCGTCCCCCCTGCCTCCATGCCTGCTCACCGAAAATGTCTCCCGGATTGCGAGTTCTGTGGATTGCGTCGGAGATGGTGCGCGCGTTACGTATCCTGCCCTGCGTGCTGTTAGTTTCGAACGCAAGACACAGCAAGTGCGGATCTGGAAGACGCGAGTGGATTGCCTTCCTTGATTGGTGCTTGCTGCCTCAACCACGTGGGACTCTCGATGAACCGAAGGCTCTTCTGACTCCCTCCCTGGCCCACAACAACTCGAGTGACTGGTGCTACGGGACGTGAGCTGCTCGCCTTCTGTCGTACCTAGATGGCTATTTTACGCGACCATGGCGATTGAAGGAAAGGGAACCACTGGAAACACAATCTTGCAGCAATTTCACCCCAATAAATGCAACACTGAGGAGGGCATTCCCGCACGGCAGGGGCTGGTGCACGGATTCAGCTAGAATGGGCACGTTCTCGCGTGACATGCTGCTGACCTGTGAGGTCTTGCTGGCGTGGCACCACGCGGCCTGACAGGAAGGGGTTGAACTGCCAATCGCAGTGCTTGTTTTTGGAAAGTCAGCAAGTCTCAATTTGGGAAAATATGCCGTTCGTAACCATCATGGGACTCGAAAACATTTTTGGTAAAAAAATAAAGGGTACGGTCACTGCAAAGGGTGTTTTCACGCGACTGATAAAGCGTTTCACGGAATCAGTCACAACCAGCTGGTAAAAAAAAACGCGAATGGTCACAGATGAAACTCCCGCCAAAACAAAATGAAACCCAGAAAGAACCTGGATGCATTTTCGGATGATCAACCCTAAACACGTAACTCGCCAGGTGTTTAGGGTTGATCCGTTCCCAAACCGCATCCGATTCCGATTGGGTTTTAGTTTTTTTTACAAGTTCGCAGATTGGTTGGGCGCGAGCGGGAATTTTGTTGAGTTTCAAGTTTTTTTGGCGGGAGTTACATGTGTGACCATTCGCGTGATTTTTTACCTGTTGTTAGTGACTGAATCCGTGACCCCGCTTACCAAACCCGTCAGAAAACCCGATACAGTGACCGTACGCGTTTTTTTTTACCATTCACGTTATCGAGTTCCAAGTTGGTTACTTGTGGCATATTTGCTGACTGTGTTTAGTTGGTTATCGAGTTTCAAGCTGGTGTCTAATTGTACAGTTCATCAAACACAGCAAATTTCACAACTTCGTACAATGAAATCACAAATAACAGTATAGAATGAGAATGATGTACAGAAGTCTACTCAGCCCTTGAGGGCAACGGTTCTTTGCCCACTTGGCAATGCCTATTTGGCACAACGCCAAAGTGAGCCAAGTATTTCGGGGAACTCAACACTTGATTCCCCTCCTCACAGGCACCCAGTTGCACTCTTTGCGAGGCAGTGGGGTCTTGAGCACCTCCTTGTGCAGGAAAGCAGCACTTCTGATTGCACGGAAGCCATTGTCCCTTTTCAAGTGCAACTCATGGGGCTCCACGCCCCGCCCTCCCCCCACCTCCACCGCTCTCTCCTCTACCTCCTGCTGCTTCTCCTGCTCCCCCGCTCGCACCTTCTCCTCCACCTCCTCATCCTCACCAGAGCTCTCGCCCTCCTCGTGCGAATCCAGTCTCACAAGAGGCGGCGGGGGAGGAAAGGACTCCTCTGTCTCCAGTTTCTCAGCGGGTGCGGCCATGTCAGGCAGGGGGGCGGGGTCGGGGAAGGCAGTGTGGCCGTCCGCGATGGGGAAGGGCGCCTCTTTCAGCCGCTTCGCCTCCGCCATGAAGCTCATCAGCATGTCTCTCGCCTCGTGCGCCGTCTTGTTGCGCGCCAGCATGTCGAACGGCGGGGGCGGTGGCATGGCGAGCAGAATCACCTGCTGCAGGCGCACGCGCGAGGCCATGCGCATGTGGCAATCCGCGCAGCACTCTTCTGTGTCTGTCTCTTCGGGTAACACGTCACTGGCGTCGAAGAACACGTCACCCTCATTGTCCATCTCCCCGCCTATCCATCCGAACCGCCCGTCTCCCTCCGTGTCTCTGCCCTTACCACGCGCAGCCTCGCGCTCCCGGCCGGCCATGGCTTGCGCGTGTCGCGAGCACGGCACGGGCAGCGGGTCCACCTGCCACGAGCCCTCGAAACGTCGCATAAAGCCCGGCCGCGCGATCGCGAACGACATCTGCGGAGCGAAGAGAGGGAAGACGCGATTTTAGCATGCGCTAGGTATGGAAGCGAACACTGGACGAGCAGAGGGATCGGGCGTGACGGTCCAAGGACGCACCGCTCACAAGGTAGCTGGAGATCTCCGCGTGAACTCACGGTTTTGCAACGAAACGTACCGTGTGTTTGAGGCGATCCTGTCGCACGAAGAGTCGCACGTCGCAGGAGCCGGAGAAGATGAGGAATTTCCCGACGGCGGACTGCTCCACCTCGACGAACTGCCGGTCGCCGTCGTCCTCCAGCACGCGGCGGTACGTGACGGCGCGGATGTTCTTGAAGACGCGCCGGTTGCACGGGTCGCACAGGATGTTGTACACCGCGTCGGGCGGCAGCGCCAGCGTCACCTCCGAGTCGATCTGGCAGAATGCTCCTTTGGGGGCTGACACCTGTGCGCGCGCGGGGGGGAAGGGAGAGGAGACAGCGAGTGAGTGGCGCACGAGGTGACGGGAGAGACGGGGACGGTGCGCGCACGAGGGGAGGCAAGGGCACGAGAGAGGCTGTAACCGGAGTCTCGCGGAGTGAAAATCGTGCGCGCGTGGAGCTACAAGGCCCTCGGTGCGTGGCTGACCTTAACGTTGGGCGTCTCGTCGTGCCAGTGCGGGTCGTCGCGCCACGCCTGCATCTGCGACTTGAGCGTGCGCTGCCACTGCACCGTGCCCGCCTTGTACGGCCCCATCTCCACCACTGCATCCTGCGGCCCTCCTTTCCTTCCATACTCGCATGCTGCCGCCCCCATGAATGCGGATCCCAAGTGACGCTACGGTAGAGAATAACGAGACGGCTCTCTCGGTGTATGTTGCTGCACCTCGAAGTCAAGCACAAAGTCGATCAGAATACTGTCGAGTCCGTGACCAGAGCAGCGATTCAGTCCTATGACGCGTTATTGTAGCGCCTTTTCTGAATTTCAATGGTAAGTAGCGAGTTCAGGATAACTAGGAATGTGTATGAATGGATGATGGTAGCAGTTGACATGGATAAAGAAGCTGAGAATCAGTGGAGTCAGATTCGCTTTCACTTCGGCATCCAGTCGGCATCCCACATCCCATTTTGCCCTGCCCTTCGTCGCGCCGCCGTAACTCCCCAACCCCAACCTCCTCTCCTCCTTGCCTCTCACTCCCTGTCGACTCGCGTTGACCACACCATGCCCCACCCAGCACAACCACAACCCGCGCTCCACCACCACCGCCCTACCTGCATCACCTGCTGATCCGTCATGCGCGCCTCTCACCACTGGTTTGACTTTGCGGCTCCCCATTCGCTCAGCTTCGGCGCTTGCTGAGTTGGCTTTTGATGTTGCCGATGTGTCACAGCTGCGGGGTGTCGTGGAAGTGTAGACGATGGCAGCAGATACGTACACCGCTAGGGTTCACTGGTCGGGCAGCCTGCGACTCCTGTCAGGAGGGTCAGCGTCAGCTACCACCGGTACGTCCAATCAGCGCCAAGTGTTCAACAAGCAAGTCTTCGACATGGCACTTGCTGCCCGTGGCGGAAAGAGGTTCTCCCGTGGCAGTTGGCGAAGTTGATGTGCTTTCGTGCTGGCATGACGCCAGCTGCCTCCAAAAGGGTTCCAGACACACCCAGATGCCAACCGCAAAACGTCACTTGGGATCAACCTCGGAGTCATCCACGTGGGCCTAGAAACTCCTGACTGCAGTGTTTGGGCTTCAGTGAATTTCGCGAAGCACATCCCCTCCAATGGAATGCCGCCTCTGACATCAGCGACCATGCCTCCTTATTGAGCATTCATCGAACACGAACACCATCGGTTTTAAACAAAACGAAATCATATCCCGTGCAATTTAATAACGACTCAAGTGCGGTACCTGTATGACGTTTGTAGGCGCTGTAAAGTTATTTGCGAATATACCCGAGAAAAAAAAAGTTGGACAATCAGACATACAACATATATACAGATGCATTCGCAAGTTGTGCGACAAACAAACCAGTGCACTCTCAGTCATCCACTTCCTCCTCTCCTGTCTCGGGCCCTTCAAACATCTCTTCCAGAGGTGGTGGTGGCACGGGCATGCATGCTTGCCCCCTCTCCCCCGACAGGATGCACAGCGCCTCGGCGTCCCTGAGGGCGGCATCCAGGTCGATGTGGCAGCTGAGGTCGTTGGCAAACTTGAGCAGCGAGTCAAACTCCATCTGCTAACACAACACACAACCCTTGCACTGTCAACATGGACAGTATAACGTTGACATGCAATAAGCATCCCCGCAGCACCCATACACCAACAGACATCCTCTACTTTCCCATCGCAGAATATTTTCCCCATGCCTCCATTTCCGCACCCCATTGCTCCCATGCTCCGCCGTACCCCATACCCCGTGCCCCCTCCTCTCCCTGCCCCTCCCCAACCCGTCCCTTCTAAGGCCACACCTGTTCGTCCATGATGCGGCGGCGGTGGCGTTTGAGCACGGCAGCAGCGACGAAGAGGTGCAGGTGCTGCGACAGATGGCAGCTCCACAGCGCCTCCCACAGCCGACACGTGCCCTCAAACTCAAACTCCCTGCCACCCTCCCATGCAGTGCAGCACAGCGCAGGTCAGCACAGAAGCACAGGGATCATGGCATATGTGGTGCATTACGGGAACGAGTGGTCATCCGGCAAGCCAGAGTCGGTGCTCGAGGCGGCACCGAATGAGAGGCAGCGAGCAGGGTAGGTGGGCATGGCGCACCTCTTGAAGCGCACGAGGATCCAGCGGAAGCAGAAGAAGAAGTTGAGGCAGTCCACGCTCTCCAGGTACTCGTACAGTGGCGGGTCCACCAGCTGCACCAACTGCTCATGGGGGCAGGAAGGGGAGGCCGTGGGGAGAGAGGCGGGTGAGGGGCAGAATGCACAGGCAAATAGAGTCGAAAAAGAAAAGGTGGGTGAGGGAGAGGATGAAGCAGGAGAGCGATGCAAGAGGTGCTGTGCATGCACCTTGGAGAGGGCTTGCAGCTGGGCGTGCATGCCACTCTGGTCGCGGTGGAAGTTGGGCGCCATGGTCTCCATGTATGCTGTGAACGCCCAGAACGCCTCCACCTCGTCTCCCAGTACCATCAGCAGCGGCGCCAACAGGTCTCCCATGCCCTGGGGGGGGAGCAGGTGGATGGCAGGCAAGGAGGAGGAGGCAAACAGTTGGTCGATTCGGGAACGAGCATGAGTATGCAAGGCAGCACGGCAGGTGGTATCACCTGGCAGTAGCCTGAAAGGCACCTGGCAGCACGGCAGCACCTGGCAGCACCTGGCAGCGCCTGGTAGCACCTGGCAGCACATGGCAGGACGTGACAGCACCTGGCAGCACATGGCAGCACATGGCAGCACCTGGCAGCGCCTGGTAGCACCTGGCAGCACATGGCAGCACCTTTCAGCACCTGGCAGCACATGGCAGCACATGGCAGCACCTGGCAGCGCCTGGCAGCAAATCACCTGGCTGGCAGCACGTGGCAGCACCTGTGAGTAGCCAATCACCTGCCAGTGGCGAATCACAGGGCACCTAGCAGCACCTGGCAGTAGCCGATCACCTGGCAGCAAGGCAGGTGGCAGCAAGGCACCTGGCAGTAGCCGAGGTCGAAGTTATAGAAGGCGTAGGTGATGAGGATGCGGCGCACGCGCTCCAGATTCTCATTGCCCTCCCCCGCAAAGAAGGCCAGGTGCCGGTCCGTGCGCACCTGGTGGGGGGGGGCGTGCACGGTGCAGGGTGGATGGGGCATGGGGCATGGGGCATGGCAGCAAAAGAGAGGTCAGGTTGAGGAGACAGGTCGGGGCAAGAGGCGGGGGAGAGAAAGGGGAAATCGCAGCATAAAGAGTGGAAGAATGCGCAGAAGATGGAGGAGAAGGTTGAAAGTGGTGTGATGTGAAAGACCATTTAATGAGTAAAACAACTGGAAGCGCAAGCCGGCAAGACGTGGAGGGGGCGGAGGGGCGTACAACATCCTTGTCAATGCGGCTGCACCTCTCCCTGTACTTGGTGAACCGCCTCGCCTGCTCCTCACTTATACTCTGCACCGCATGGCATGCACACAAGGGCGGGGGTGGGCACATGCAGTGGGAGCAGGGAAGAGAGGAACGGTGCCATGTGTTTGAGCTCGGTTGGTCCACATCTCGTAAGCAACGCTGACAAAAGCCCCTGTGAGCCCAAGTGCGGCCCACCTGCCACTGCAGCAGCAGCGAGTTGTACGCGGAGACCTGCCTCTGCCGCAGCTCCTCCCTCTCCGCGTGACTCGCATCCCATGGCACATAGCCCAGCAGCCGCGGCCACACCTGCTCGCTCCATTGGGGTGCGTGGGGGTCATGGGGGGCATGGGGGGCATGGGAGGCATGGGTGATTGGAATGAGAGTGGGTGGCGAGGGGTGGAATGAGATGGGTATGTGCATGGCATGTGGAGGTGGTGCGTAACCACCCACCCCATGCATACATGCACCCATGGCAGCAACAGTGGTGGCACCTGGGCGCGCAGCTGTGGTTCCATCCCGCTGTAGAAGATGCGCTGCAGCACCGCCTGCCTGTTGGCCTCGCTCACCCGCCCCTCACTGTCCTGAAATGCCCTCCACTGGTGGGATCCATGGAAGGGGGGAGGGGGGGTGAGCAAGAGCGGAGGACGTGTGGGGGGAGGGGGGGTGAGCAAGAGCGGAGGACGTGTGGGGGGAGATGGAAGGTGATGTCGCGAGAGGGTCAAGGCGAGGGAGGGCGGGAAGGTGATAAATGAGTAATCATGGATCTGCGGAGGGGGATAAGGTGATGCGCATGGCTGCATGGCAGCACGGTAGCATGGCAGCATGGCGCACAACTGACCTCGTCTGGGGAGAGTGGTGGCAGGAGAGGGCGAGGCGGCACGAGGGAGGAGGAATTGTCCTGCAGGGGGCATGGGCACACGAGGCATGGGCACACGAGGCATGGGCACACGAGGCATGCGGAGTTGGAACCCCACGTGTGTGCACATGCATGGTGAATGACAGGCGAGAGAGGGAGGAAACGCAACGCACAGGCAAGCATGCAGGGGAGGAAGCGTGGTGTGCAGGAGACATGTGGGCATGTGTGCATGTGGGCATGGGGCATGGGCATGGGCATGGGGCATGGGGCATGGGGCATGGGGCATGGGGCATGGGCATGCGGCATGCATCACAGCGTCACCTGAAAGTCATCCAGCAGCTCAAACTCGCCCACACCTGTGCTCTCCTCCGTGCTCCCCTGCATGCACACACACACGGAGGGTATATGGGGCACATGAGCGCTCACATGTGCCATCACACTCCACTACCCACATCACATCCCCCCCCAATCCCCCCCTTTCCTCTATCCCTCCCCCCCCCAACGGCACAGGGAGCACCTTGATGGTGGTCAGGCGGCTCAGACTGCCCTCACTCTCGCCCTCCTCCTCCTCTTCCTCCTCCTCCCCCTCCCACCCGCCCCCCCATGCGTCAGCAGCAGGCATGCGCTCCTCCGCATCCCTGCCGCCCAGCAGCCGCCCCTCATACCCTCCCATGCCGCCCAGCCCGCCCATGGCCTCCCCCACGGCGGCGGGGGCGGCGGCCAGCATGCCACGGGCCATGCGCGTCACCGCGGAGAATCCCCCCAGCACCTGGGGGACACAGGGTCAGGAGAGCGGGGGGAGGGGGGGGAGATGGCACAGGCACGGGCGAGGCATCAGCATGCATGCAGTGGCCACGGGTGTTTCTGAGCAGCACTCACAGCGCTACCGAGCACCTCCCCAGCGCACCTGCATGGAGATGTCCTTTGCCACGTCAGCAGGCTGCTGGCGGTGAGAGCTGTGCGGTGCACGGTGGTGGTGGTGGTGGTGGGGGTGGTGGGAGAGTGCCCTGGCGCGAGCAGCGTCCTGCAGGGCGCGTTCATTGGCGGCCTCCAGGATGCACAGCATCTCCGCCTCCGATGGCTGCTGCTCTCCCCCGCCCCCGCCCCCCCCTTCCCCTGCTTCCCCCGCCCTCCCCCCTCGCCTCTGCTTGGCCTGCTGCTGCGCCAGGGCATGAGCGGCCTCCAGCATGCGCAGCATCTCTGCTTCACTCGGGTACTCCCCCTCCTCCCCCTCCTCCCCCTCCTCCCCCTCCTCCCCCTCTCCCTCTCCTTCCTTCCCCCCCTCCTCGCCACCCACCCCCTCGCCAGCAGCAGCAGCAGCGTGCAGCACGGAGGTGCTGCGCGGAGCAAGAGAGGGGGGCAGCTTGTTCCGCCGGACAGCCTTCGCCCCCTCCCGTTTCCTGCCCTCCGCGTCCTCCGCGTCCTCCCCCCCTTCCCCCTCGTCCTCACTCACACTGCCCAGCGCCCTGCTGCCCCCCAGTTTCCCGAACGCCGATGCGCTGCGCTCGCCCAGCCGGTAACTCCCTCCCGCCCCCGCCCTCCCCCCTGCACTACCCGCTGCTGCCGCTGCACTGGGAGGGGCAGCAGCAGCAGGCGCAGCAGGGGGGGCGGAGGGGCGGAAGGGCGGGGCGTGGCGGCGGGCGGCGGGGAGAGACATGGAGCGGAAGTTGGCGGAGGCGGGTGGTTCGGCGGGCTCGGTGGAGGGCGGATCCCAGAGATGCAGCTGCGCTAGACTCCTCTGCTCCAGGGGGGGGGAGGACACGTGGGGGAGAAAGGGTGGAACAGATATGGAAAATGAGATGAAATGTGTTGAAACGGCAGGGCAGGGCAAGGCAGGGCAGGCATGAGCAGAGAAGGAGTGTGGAGAGGTGGGGCACCTGCAAGAGGTCGAAGGACTGGTTGACATTGTAGACGTTGGGGTCATCTAGGGAGCGCTCGAGCATGGTGTGCTGCTTTAGCACGTGCAGAAACTCCTTCACTCCCCCGTCGTAGAAATAGAGCGGCGGGAATGCCACTCCTGCACCCCACACACGGCCACACGCACAGGGTCAGCTCAGCATTGGTGGAAGGCAGATACGGGGACTGCGCGGAGGGGAGGGAGGGGCTGGGAGGGCTGCCTGACCTGAGGTGAGGACGATGATGATGTAGTGCCATCCAAAGGGCGGTGTGTGGCGGCGAATGGATCGCATCTCTGACACGGCCACTGAGCGGATGGAGTACAGCAGACTGCCGCGCGCTATGCCTGCTCCATCCAATGGTTGGGGGGGGGGAGAGGAGGGGGAGAGGGGGTATTCATTTGTTGCCCCCCGCGATGCACTGAGGGAGACAGCTCACACGAAATGTGGTAACGGCAGGTGACGAGGACGGTAGCAGCAGCTGGAAACACGAGACGCACACACGCATGGTGAGATGAACGCGACGCCAGGCGGCAGCATCACCATGGTGGGTGGCTGACCAGTGCGGTGCCGTGCAAAGCGCACGCTGCATGCCATGTGTGCATGAGAGAGCAACATGCGAGGCCATGGCCTGTACAATTAACACATCTACGCACCTTTAGGCGTGCCTGCGGGCGAGGAGGGCTCGTAGGGAATCCAGTTCTGGCAGCAGTGGCACGGGGCGGGTATGTGGGGCAGGAAGTGCATACCGGTGTGGCATCAAATGGTATGGCATGGGATGAGTGGTGTGTGTGGCCTGGCATGCATGAGTGGCACGTGTAGTATGCCAAGTGGCATGGGTGGGTGAGATTCCTAAGAGCGGAAGGGCAAAGAGGGCGAGGAGTGGAGTGATAGAGCGGAGCAATGGGCGGGCTCCTGGGACCCGCATCCAAGGGGAACGATGAACCTGCTCACACACGGACAGAACAAAAAACGCAAGCAGGCCGAGGGGGGGCGAGGGGTGGCAAGTAGAGGCGAAGGGGGGCCGCGGGGGTTGTGGGGGCGAAGGGGGGCCGCGCGGGGTTGGGGGGGCGAAGGGGGGGCGCGCGGGGTTGGGGGGGCGAAGGGGGGCCGCGCGGGGTTGGGGGGGGAAGGGGAGCCGCGGGGTTTGGAGGCGCGCGCGTACGAGGAAGACGTCAGTGCCATGCTTGACGAGGCGCAGCTGCCCCGCGATCTTGCGGCTGGACGACGCCGACGGATGCACCGCCACGTTGCCCTTCACGAACAGCACCTCGCGCGCCACCCCCGCCACCCCCGGCCCCCCCGCCTTCTCCTGCGCAACTCCCCCGCCCGCCCCCTCCTGCGCCTGGTTTCCCCCTTCGCTCCCCTCCATCCTCCTGCTCCCACCGTTCTCGCGCGCGCCTGGCTTGCTCCGCAGCTCCCGCGGCGGCGCGTCCGCTTTGCTGCTGCCGCCGCCATCGCTCCCCTCAGCCGGAGGGGGCTGCGCGGGCGGGGGTCGGCGCAGAGGGGGAGTGGTGGTGGAGCGGATGTAGCGCGCGTTGCCGCTCGGCACGGACGACGACGACGGCAGCGACCGACCCTGTGCGACCGACTGCGCGCTCGCAGGAGCCTGCAGAGGAAACGCGGGAAACGTTGGGATACACGGTGCGAGTGCGCGCTCAGTTTAATTGGAAAGACTTTAAGACGAAGGACGAACACAAGGGACCAATTAGTGCAATTAGATTGTGAGAAATGCATTCTGACATGGCGGATGCGTGGGTACACGACTACGGGCAACGCGCTGCTTGTGTGCAATCAGAACGAGAGCGCATGTTGGCGGTCGAAGGTTGACAGCGCACACTCTGACGAACAGCAAACGGCATGACCGGCGACAAGTAGCACGGCCTCGCAGCCTGTCTGACCTCGCGAAATTGACTGCGAAGCGACGAGTGACCCCTGGGCGGCGGAGGTACGTCGTCAGTGTTGGGCTCCACGCACACGCTCCTATCGCGAGCCATGCTCTCGCTCGTTCTCACTCCCACCACGTAATTCACAGATTAGAACGTGATTAACAGATTAAAAGTATTGTTAGCGCTATCTGCGGGGTCTCGAATAATCGTGCTATCACAAGCAAGGCTGACCGAGACAGCAGGTGGTGTGGTGTTGTTGCTTTGACTAGCTAATCTCGCAAACAGCAAATTAGCCTTGGGAATGTACAGCTGGTTGGAGAGGGTAGGATGAGTGACCACGGCATTCCTGTGGCGGGCGGTCTGACTGATGACGGGGGTCGCTGAGTCGCTGGCCTGTGGCACGCGAAGGATATGTCAGACAGGCGAGCGTGATGATGGCATTGCGACGAGGAATTGGATGGGATGGGAATGTGATGCGACTGAAATGCGATGCGATAGTTTGGGGAATCCGATGAATGAGTGTGAAGGATGGATGGATGGGATCGCGCGGATGAATGCCGCCGCTGACGCGGAGCTCCGCACTCTCCCCGTCGCTCGGCAGGAATGCGGTGTGGTGCGTGCGGAACACGCTTGCGAGTCCACGATATCCGTCCCCACCCCACTTCAATCCAGTCGCGGGCCGCTTCCCCGCTCCCCTTCCAAGAGGGTGGGTGGGATGAGGTGGCCTCAGGTCTCGCCGAAGGTTGGAAGCTTTACGGCGCGGTGTGCCATCGATGTGTGGTGCGGAGTCAAGATGGAGTGAGCCAGAAGTTGTTGGTTGTCAGACACGGTTGAATTTGATCGATAATACTCGACCGTGTGTTCAATACAATCCCAGCAAATACAAAAACCGAGGCAGCGTCAACGGCGTACAGAAACTTATTGGTGAGAGCCCATCTGATCGCAAGGCAACAAGAGAATAAAGAGCTCGTTACGGGTGCAATGAATCTAGGTGGCGAGGATTGCACTAAAGTATTCAACGAGTACAAAGTATGAGCGAAGGCATGAGCGAATACTTATACGCGAAACATGCAAACGGTAACGCGGTGCGTGCGAGCTAGCTAGTGCTACGCTGGCATGAGGTTCGGGCTAGTCCCGCAGCGTAGGCCGACTCGGCTGCTCCAGCAGTGCGAGGTTTAGTGAAACAGTGCGCGCGAAGTTGGCAAAGCCCCGTTAGCAGTAACGGGCGAACAACGGCTGCGGCTGTACGCGATGTTGACGGTCGCAGTAAGGAATAGCGAGAAAAATCCTTACACTACCCCCCCCCCCCCCCCCCCCCCCCCCCCCCTCAAGAAGGCTCCTCCGCTACGCGAGTGCGTGTATATCGCGGAAACTTCGGCTCCTCAGGTACACTTGCAGGGCAGGGTGTTTTCGATGTTGGTTAGGGGCACCCAGCTATCCTCCGTTGGCGTGCGGTCGTTCCAGCGAACGAGGAACTCGATCCTCTTGATGCCTGTTGGGTGTCGAATCCGATGGCCCAAAATCTTCTCGGGCTCAATGATCGGCTCCGATGCAGGGCGAGTCATGGATGGCGGGCGGTGACGAGGCAGTTGGCTCGTGGTTGGGATGTAAGGGCGAAGCAGGCTGACGTGGAATGCTGGGCTGATGTACCAGTCCGTCGGTAACAGTAAATGGGCAGTAACTGGGGTGATGATGTGGCTGATTTGGAATGGTCCACAGTAGCGGGGTCGTAATTTCGGTACGACGGGCAGTCTTAAGTTCTGTGTGTCGAGCAGTACGTTCTGTGTTCGGGGAAAGGGGGGGCGTACGCTCTTCAGTGTAATCTTCGCTATGGAAAAATTTACCCCAAGGCATCAGTATGGCCTGCGTCGATACACTTACAGATCAGTGTAACACTAACTCACCAAAAAATTATCCCAGCACATAAGTGTAGATCCAAAATTTCACCCTTGTAATCAGTATAGAAGGGTAAATTACACTGATAACTTGAGCCCTGGGGACTGCTGCATCGTCACTGACATGGCGTTGTTGTAGGCGAACTCGATCAGCGGCAGCTGCTGCTCCCAAGTTGTCGGGTCGTCGCACGCGGTTCGAATAAACTGCTCCATCGTCTGATTCGTCCGCTCTGTTTGACCGTCGGTCTCGAGGTGGCACGACGAGCTGAACTGTAGCCTGGTCCCGAACTGCTCCCATAGGTTCTTCCAGAAGTTGCTGGTAAACTTCGTGTCGCGGTCGCTGATGTTTGCGGCTGGTATCCCGTGAAGTCGAACGACGGTTGCGATGAACAGGCGAGCGGTTTCTTCGGCTGAGATCAATTTCCTGCATGCAGCGAAGTGAGCCATTTTCACCAGTTTGTCAATGACGACCATTACCGCGTCGTTACCCCCGGGGTTCGAAGGTGCTGTAGTGCACGATGGTCTGTCCGTACTGTCACGCCGACTCCTGTCAGGTAGCACCGCCACACCTTGAACGCGTGCACGATCGCCAGCATCTCGCGGTCGTGTATCGGGTAGTTGCGTTCGGGCGGGTGAAGTTTGTGGGACTAGTACGCGATTGGCTGGAGGCCGTTCCCGAAGTCCTGCAACGGTACTGCTCCCACAGCAATGTCATTAGCGTCGGTGACGAGCTCGAACGGACGGTGAGGATCTGCAATGCGAAGCACAGGCGGTGAGCACAAAATATTTTTGAGGGCCGAGAAGGCAGCTTGCTCTTTCTCCCCCCACGTGTACTCAACCCCCTTCCTCAGCAGGTCAGTCAACGGAGCAGTAAACTTCGCCATGCCAGGGACGAACCGGCGCACGTAGCTGACGAACCCCAAAAAGCTCTGTAGTTCGGTCAAATTTGTCGGCGCGTGCCATGCTTGAATCGTCGCGATCTTTTTTTGATATATTTCCAATCTGTCAGCTGAAATAACGTGCCCTAAAAACTCCAGTTTGTCATGTAAAAACCCACACTTAGAGGCTTTTGTCAGTAGGCGGTTCTCACTCAGTATTTTAAAAACTTCTTCGATGTCTTGTAGGTGCTGCGCTCTGTCGGTGCTGTAAATCAGTATGTCGTCGAGATACACGATGACGCACTTATCCAAAAGTGGGCGGAAGGCTTCGTTCATGGTCATTTGAAAAGTGGCGGGGGCGTTGGTCAGTCCGAAGGGCATGACGGTATATTCGAAGGATCCGTAGCGTGTTCGGAAAGCTGTTTTTGGGCAGTCGTGTGGGTTGACGCGGATTTGGTGGTAACCTCTTCGAAGGTCGATTTTCGAGAAAACTCGGGGTGTGCTCAATCTGTCGATCAGTTCGTCGACTCGCGGGATGGGGTAACGGGACTTGATGGTAACCCTGTTCAGTGCACGGTAATCGATGCACATGTGAAAACCCCTGTCTTTCTTCGGTGTGAACAGTATCGGTGCTGCGAAGGGTGACGAACTCGGGCGAATGAACTCCTTCTCGAGTAGGTAATCCAGCTGCTTCCTCAGTTCGTCCAGTTCGGGTTGGGTCGGTCGGAACTGTCGCTGTGCTGTCGGTTGTGCCCCCAGCTCTAACTCTATCCTGTAGTTGTGCAGTCCCTGAGGTGGCAGTCCTGTCGGCAGATCGTTCGGGAAAATCCCACTGTATTGCTTCAGTGGTGCTGCCAAGTCATCCGGTACGTCGGCTAGTAGTTTCTGTAAATCCCCCCCCTGTGTCTGCTGTCTCGGCTTCCCGAATGTCGACCGCGTACACATCAGCTCCTGCCGCTACAGCGCGTTTCATCGTGATTGCGTTGACACGCACCGACGAAGACTTAGGCGAGCCCCAGCGAGGTAAGGCGATGTTGTTACCGTTCACTCGCACGGTGCAGTCACCCGTCGTCCAGTCGATTCACGGATTGTGTCGTCGCAGCCAATCACGGCCGAGTACAATGTCGGTTCCATCGAGGGTTGTCGTGAGCATTTCCTGACTAAATGTGAAGTTACCCCCGCATCGAATCCGAACTCGGTCCACACGTTCCCGTATCGCCAGTGGTGTGCCGTCAACCAGTCTTGTGTCGATCTCAGGTAAACATCTGTCCAGTGGCAGTCGCAGTTTCCGTGCGATGTTGATCAGGCTGTGGCTGGCTCCCCCGTCTACGAATATTTTAACTAAGTCTGTCCCAATTTTCCCACTAAGCAGTATGGGGTTGTTGTCAGAACATTATAGCTTATACATTTGTGTAGGCTGTAGTGGGGTAGCCCATAAGGGGTACAACCCAATTAGGGTTAGTACTTGTACCCAACTGTTTACTAGTTCATTCATTCTCGTTTGTAACTTCAACATGGAATCAGAGCAGGTTCCTTGGGCCCACCACCTGCTACGCTGCTAGTACTACCACCTAGGCCCGTCGCCCCTAGGCCCGTCGACCCTAGCCTAAGTGCCCGGCCCGTCGACCCTAGCCTACGCGCGCCCGGCCCGTCGTTCCTAGCCTACGCGGCCCGTCGACCCTAGTGCCCGGCCCCGTTCCTAGCCCGCGGCCCGTCGACCCCCGCGCCCGGCCCCGTTTCTAGCCCAGCGCCCGGCCCCGTACCTAGCCCGCGCCTGGCCCCGTACCTAGCCCGCGGCCCGTCGACACCCGCGCCCGGCCCCGTACCTAGCCCGCGCCCCGTCGACACCCGCGCCCGGTGTCAAACCTATATGCTATAGTCTGTTTAGGCTGTAGTGGGGTAGTTCATATAGGGTACAACACTTTTAGGTTTCCTACTTGTACCCAC